TAATGTCTCATACTTTGTGGGTAACCCTGTACGTTTAAACATATTTATACTACAAATACTTTACATATGCTAAACATTTACCCTACATTATACACATCACAACAATTTCAGCTTTTTCTTCATGTTTTTGCATAGATCATTAATAGTAATGAAATCTATATTGATAGTGATAATGCCAACTTGATCATAAAAATGATGATTTATAAAAGATTTATGTAACTTTAAAAATATTTCTCGTTTACGATCTTTTAACTGAGTCCGAATTTAATGAATTTGAGCCGCGTCTCAAATCCACCAAAAACCGTTGTCAATTGAGTGTCGGCTTAAATCTTGAAACATTGAATACAATTTTAAGTGGAACCATCGTTATTTTAGCCGCGTCTAAATTTTTAGCCTCGGCTCAGATTCTTTAAAGTCGGCCTCAGATGAACTTGATTGTTAATAGGGTTGGATTCCTCCAGTTACCTATAGCTGGCAACCATAGGCTCTCCCTGCTTGTCAACCTTTCCTCTCTTCATCATCATTCACTTGGATCAATCCATTTCAAGCTTCTTTCTTGTTGAGTAGAAAACACCCACGCTTTCGCTGCTAAAGATGTTGACAGCCACCCCTTCAGGTGGTCGTAACTACTTAACCAGATGTTGGCTTCAAGTGATTTTGAAATTACAGGTTTGTATGGAGTGCGGGAATCGGACCCGTAAACACCAATCTTTTTTTTTATCTATATTTATAAAGTAGTAGTCTTTGTTTGTTTTAATTGGAGAATTTGGGAGTACCACAGGAATGTTCTTTGATTGGTTTTATGATTCTAAGTTGAGTGGGTAGACTTTTATAGGGCAAAATAGTTAAAATCGTAATTATTTTTACTAATTTTATTATTGTAGCGACAAGAGAAATAAACGTACTAGAGATATTTTGAATTTAAAATACAACATGGCAAAGGTGAATGACAAAATATATCTTTATTTTGGCTTCTGCACCAGAAACAGAAGACAACAATTCTAGGTCCTCTATAGAGGTCCCACCAGCATCTTGAGAACCTGTAGAGAAACAAGATGTTTATCCCCCGACAACTCTTCTAACTAAGGACGAAAGAGTCACTGGAGGAGAAAATCGAACCTTCTTCCTTGAACCTTTAGCTGTTGAAAGAGATGTCGGAAGACTTAGAGTCTGAGCTACCGGAGCTGGAGGTTTCTGAGTCGGAGGTACCAGAGCCTGAGGTTTTGAAGATAACATAGGTTTACCTCCCTGAGGGGGCTCCTGAGCTGTCACAGGAAACTTGGAGAAAAATGGTTTCAGTTGGTCAATGGAGACTGAGTCTGTTTTGAAACACATCTGGAGAGAAAAGTACTTGGGAGAACGACAGACCACTAAATAATGACCTCTTTAGAGTGGAGAAAGCGGAGGCTTGGATGAATTCACTCTCACAAACAATGGGAAGCACGGAGCAAGCTTGGTGGAACTTGTTCTTAAACTGGGTTTGACAGAGTTGAACTGTGATGCGGTGGAGAAACCGGATTATTCTTGATGATTTGTTGGATTCAACAAAGAAACTCTGGAGCAGGGAGTTCAGGACTGTCTAGGAACTCACCAGGTAGAACCAACGGAGAACCAAAAACAGCTTCAGGGGAGGAAATTGACGAATCTTCTCTGAGAATGCTCCGAAGACCGAGTAGAACTAGAGGAAGGTGATGAAACCAGAACCAGCAAGTCAAGCACGAAGGGAAACCTTAAGCTGCCTGTGGAACTTCTCAACAATCCCAATAGACTGAGGAGTAGAAGCAGTAGGAGAGTGAACTATTCCCAGAAACTTGCATAAGGACGTCCAGATAGAACCAGTAAACTGTTTACCTCGGTAAGAGGTTATAACTGAGGGGACTCCAAAATGAGGGATCCATGAACGTAGGAGGACTTTTGCACAATCATCTTGTGGAACGATCAATGATTGTGAAAAGATAGGAAAACCCACTAGACTGATGGAAAGGTCCAACAAGATCCACATGAATGTGGGAGAACCTTCGTCCTGGAACTGGGATATGGTGAACTGGAGTCTTGATGTGAGTCTGAACCTTGCTCCATTGACAACTGATGCAGGAATAGGTCCAAAGGTTGACATCTCTGGACTGGAACTCCCAGAAAAAACTCCTGAAAATAAGTCTTCAGGAAGCTAGTTTACCAGGATGAGAAACTTTGCACGGGATGGTCTCAAAAAATACCCTTCTCATTGGCCCTGGAGAAGTAAGGAACGGGAAATGGGAACAGAGACAATCGTCAGGGCGAAGGATAGGCAGAGGTTTTGAACTTTAGGATAGGACTGCTGGACCAGTGACATACATGATATTCCTGGAACTGATGGCGGAGGAGGTGAAGATATTTTTGATATTACATCTGGTAGTGGTTGACTAGGGTCAGAGCATCTGCCACTACATTTTCTGTCCCTGAGAAATGACGGACATTACACAATTGAACTCAGACTTGAACGAAAGGCAGCCAAGGCGAAGAAGTCCTAAACAAGGCATGAGTTAGGGGCTTGTGATCAGTGAACAAAACAAACTCTTTATCTTCTAGGATGAACCGGAAATGGCAGAGGGCGGAATAATCAGCAAACTAGTTTCCCAAATGGAAACAGGGAGATGAAACTGGGTAGCTTGATACCAGCAAACTGAAGAAGTACCTGTTATTTTCTCATCTTGCATCACTGATCTACGACTAGCAAACCTGGGCAGGGAACTACAATTTCCAGACCTTGATGATGAGTTTCGTGGTGGTAAAGCATAAACATCTTCAGTTGGCCAAATGGCTGGACTGAATGGGCCGACATCTTTTGACGAACTCATGGTTGCCCTGTCAGTAACATAGGCTAAACAAATCGACTTTTTTATTCAAAAATCTATTTTTTTTCTTTCAAAAACCAAAATTTTTTTCTTAAATATTCAAATTTTTCTCTACGGGCAATGCCGGGCACTTTTAGCTAGTTTTTATCATTATTATTATATTTTGTATTATAAAATATGTCTACTTATTCCGTTTTCTGTACGTTCTGTAGTCGGCCTTATGCTGTATTCTATATTCTGTATTTTATAATCTGTATACATATTCTGTATTCTGCATTATGTATTTGAATTGTGTATTCTATATTCTACACTCTTATTACTTATTCTGACTGTATCAAGGGAGTAAGGAACAGAAGGGAGATATAACTGACGCGGTTCGCCTTACCATGATGATTATAATGCTTTGCAGACGGGTACTCCATTTGTATAATAAATGTTTGTCTGATATACAATTACCGCGTAAACAATTGCCTATTTTGAATATTTATTATACAAATGGAGTATCCGTCTGCAAAGCACGCATAATCATTTGGTAGGGCCAACCGCGTCAGTTATATCTCCCTTCTATTCTTTACTCCCTGTTTGTATCCTGTAGTCTGTCTGAACGGATGGCACAGTTTAAATGTCGTCTTTGATAAGTGTAAACTAAAGTTTGGCCCAATAATTTTATTTACAGGGTGTCCCAAAAAACATGGGAATTCAGTGACGAATTCGACATCGTCTTTTTAAATAATTCTTTGATTTAGTATAGTGATACCAACTGAGAAAGCTTTAATCTGAAAGAGTTTCGTCTGCTATGTTTACATTTTGTTTGTTTATGTTTTGACTGCATACGGTTGTACTTAGTAAAACAAGAAAATTGCAGTATACAAACAGAGTAAACTTGTCAGTCTTCACTGTTCATCTTGCAGAGACATTATAGACACATCTTTACAGTCTTTTACCCTTTTCATAAAATAAACTCTAGCAGACATAATAATATTATGGCTTTTGAAATTAGGTATTACAGTGCTAATTTATAGCAAAGACGATATACTATTCGTCATTGAATTCCCATGTTTTTTGGGACACCCTGTATAATCCACACCGCTTGGGAATCAGACAGGCCAGTTTACACTTACAGAAATGGAGAGGCACTTGAGAAACCGTCTGAAGTCTCTCTAAAGACAACCTTTGGTCGTCTTTTATTTTCCGTACTTGTTAAGGTGTCATATCAGTTGGACTAATGATCGATTAGACTAACGTTCCTATGGACTAATGTGCATTTGCACTAACGTTAAAAATTAGGAACTTTAGTCATTTTGAACAAATATTTTTTCAAGTTTTTTACACAAAAAATCACATGATGTAATGTTAATATTTGAGGGTTAGGTCGGGAACAGTGTGCGGGAGTGTAATCAGTGTATGTACATTATACAACTAATTTTTTGTTACTTTTTAATTTAATTAACTATTATGCTGCTGGGGGTTATTATTATATTCAGCAGTTGATATTGCAGAGGGGTTTAAAATCTCATATATCAGATTTACATATCCTTCTTGGTGCCTCATACTTCTAACACCTACTTTACGAGCTTTTGAGTTATTATATCGTACAATGTATGTACATGTTATTATATCGTACAATGTATGTACATGTATCTCGATTTGGCGTTTTTATGTTTATCATGGGTTGTTCTTACATAATGACCAAGGACATAAATTTTCATCTTTATTTTAATATTTAATCTATATATAAATTTGGCTTGTCTGTCTGTTTGTCTGTCTGTCTGTTTGTATCCAATAAACGTCAAAACGGCTGAACCGATCGAGCCCAAATTTTTTGTGGGACATCTAGGGACCCCAGGGAAGGTTTATGAATGATTGAAATTTTTAATATTTGTCTCCATCAAAATTCGAGCTTCATTAAATTTTTGAAAATTTTGAAAATCCACGAATTTTTTTGTGAAAATCCGCGAATTATTTTTGTTTTGTTTTACGATGTACACAAAGAGAACATGTTAACAATTAATTTAGAAGATGGGCGCGAAGCGCCCTCTAAGGCTAGTATATTAAATTTTAATATTTAATATATATTAAATTGTATACTTGATGATAATTATTATTTTGAACATACATCATCTTGTGATCAGTAAACAGAACAACTGCAGTTTAATATTGCTGATGTATAATGTATGTACATGTCACTTTATTTGGTAATCTTATGTACAGAGAGGATCCTTTAAATCCTGTTGTATATCTTTCTTGATTAGTATTGTACTTCTCACAGCAATATTGTTTCTCCATTCCCCATCCTTAAAATATGTACTTTAGGTACATGATTCGGTACATATATATATTTTTATGCGTTTAAAGGGACTGTAAGCGTAAATTCAAGTGACCATGTATTTAAAGAGGGACATCCCCGATTAATAACGGTATGGAATTTGGAATAGACTAGGGAGATACAACTGACCCGGCCCGCACTACCATATGAATTATACATGCTTTGCAATTGCAGACGTTACTTCATTTGAATAAGAAATATTTGTCTTTTGTACAATTGTACGATTACCGTGTAACCTATAACATTAACCTATTCTGAATATTTCTTATACAAAATGGAGTACCGTCTGCAAAAAGCATGTATAATCATACGGTAGGGCGGGCCGCGTCAGTTGTATCTCCCTTCTATTTTATACTCCTTGGTAAAAAACTGTAAAATGGGAGTGTACGCTAGCGTACTGTGCGAACTCAAATCGAATGTGAATAAATTCATATCCAGCCACTTCTAAGAAGTAATTTTTAATATTCCTTAAATACAAAACAGCTTGAAAACAAAGTGTTCAACAACTACAAGCGTTTCTATAAATAAATAAGGATGAGCATGTCATCCATTATCAGTCAAAGGTTTAAAGGGTACCGTAGTGAATCGAGAATGCCACTCTTCAAATAAAAGATCCCTTGAAATTTCGCCTACAGTCCCTTTAATACTAGAATAAACAATTAACTGTAAAATATAAACTTAGCATAATATACGCTCAACCTGAATAGTTCCTAATGCACTGATAAACCTTCCTTGTCCATGTTTTTCATCATTTTTCCATTCTCCCTCATAAACAGACCCATCTAAGATATTTTTTCTTCTTTTTTTCAGTGGTAGAAGGGAATTAAGTGAGGGGTGGATAAGAGAATATGGGGCAAAGGACATTGAGCGATGGGATGGGAATTAGAGCTAGGAAGTTAATGAGAGCTGGGTTGAATATATGGATATTGGATACTCCTAGTCCCTCTCCACCCCCTGCTCTCCACTAGTATAAATATACCTGGATATATGGATACTCCTAGTCCCTCTCCACCCCCTGCTCTCCACCAGTATACATATACCTGGATATATGGATACTCCTAGTCCCTCTCCACCCCCTGCTCTCCACTAGTATATATACCTGGATATATGGATACTCCTAGTCCCTCTCCATCCCCTGCTCTCCACTATTATATATATACCTGGATATATGGATACTCCTAGTCCCTCTCTACCCCCTGCTCTCCACTAGTATATATATACCTGGATATATGGTTACTCCTAGTCCCTTGCTACCCCTGCTCTCCACTAGTATATATATATACCTGGATATATGGATATTCCTAGTCCCTCTCTTCCCCCTGCTCTCCACTGTCCCTCAAATCTCTCTCCGTCTCTATATTTTGCTCTCCCCCATCCCTTTCTTTTTCCATTTACCCATTCTCCTTGGTATTCAACCATTTTTCCTCTGCATTAAACAATCCTTAGACTTTAGTGTAATGAAAAGCTAATATGAAATAAAAAAAATGATTTCAAGTAAATGGTAAGGAAGGGTATATATAATATATAACGCTGTAATCTCTGTTTGTGTTTTTGGATGTCCGATCATAACTCATGAACCCCTTGACCAATTTGCCTCAAATTTTTATGTTGGAACTCGGAAGAACTACGGAAATGTGCTTATTTTGGTTTTTAGATTCTAAGTTGATTAGCTCCACTTTTTTAGGGAAAAATAGCCAAAATCGTAATCGCGTGTAAAAGGCGTGAGTATCTGAGTACCCTGGGCAGCGCTGGGTTCTCAAGACAGTATATATAGTTAGTTTAAATTAAATTTAAGCTAATCCCAGCATTTTCAAAGTTCCATCAATTTCATTTGCTGATGCCGATGGGCGCAACATTTTCTTGGTTTTAAAACATTCTTTGTGTTTTTTAGCTGTTCCACGAAAATCTGAGAAATTTTAAAATGTTTAGCTTTTATGCTTATTTTATTACAGAATCAGAGTGCAAATATATAGGGATTAGAAAATTTGAGTTTGTGGCAAACACGCAATTTCTTTTTTAAAAATCAACTTTTAGAACTTTTAATATTGTGATCTATGAAAATTTTCAGATAAGGCTGATCTCCCCCCATTAAACTATGGATTAGTCCTGTTTCTCCCTGATCCAATGATCTCCCCCCATTAAACTAAGGATTGGTCCTGTTTCTCCCTGCTCCAGTGTTGAATACCAAACCCAGATCTTTTATCATCCTTCCAGTCTCCTCGATACTCAATTCTTAAACCTAAACAATTCACAAATTATCAATTTACCTACTAAAAACGGAAAATATGTAAAAAGCTTTTTACATGGCGGCCCTGTAAAAATTGTTTAGAGGTACTCTTTTCATTTTAATAGATATATATGTAATAAAATTTTTTCTTAAGACCATTATTTTGCATGCCGCAAAAATAAACGTGATTTTTGAGCCATTTTGGGTCTTTTTGCTGAATCCTCACTTTTAAAGTTAGAATAATGTTTCATATCATTTTGGAAATTCCAATAAATGTTCTAAAAAGTAAAGTTGTAAAAAATTACAATATTTGAAATTTCGTCTATTTATTAGCATATTTAGCTGGAAAATTGTCGATTTTTCTGCTACGCACTTACACCTGAGGAACACCACCTTAGCAACTTAAAAAAATTGTATTTCTCACTTTTTCTGTATCTTGTAATGTTTCTAAAATGTACTAATTTATTCATATATCTTCATTAATGGTCAACCTATAAGCATTTGAATAAAATATGCTTGTTAAATTTTACCATAATTGTCATAAAATCCTTATATTTTGACTGTGAACAATGTTTTCTATTACTTTGGAAATCCTATATACAGAGCGTAGTGGGGGGGGGACGGTACCCCCTGTTCACCCCCTAGACCCCCCCTAGAGCCTGATGCAGGATCTAATATATTAATCTTACATATATATTCAGGTTTTTTATTTCTTATCAATTGACATTTGGCAATGTCACAATTTGTCCATTTTATGATAATTTCTCAAATTCTTTCTTGTACCTTAATCTTATTTACAATATTTTTTTCCCGGGGTTTCATTTAAAATTGGAGGCAGTATTATTAAAACTTTTAATTATTTTTTGTCAATTCTAAGGCCATATTATTTTAATGGAATGCTATTTTTAACCCTTTTATTAATGGTTGAAAACATCTGAATGTTTCCATAACTTTTTACCAATTTTTTTTTTATTATTCTAACCCCTGGATTGAACAATCTTCATCATCAATATGTATAATGTAGATGCAAACCTTCCGGACCTATTTATTGGTTAGGGAATATTTATATAAGGAAATTTGATAACATTCTTTATCAACAATGTTTTTGGACATCTTTTCTCTCACAAAGCGGTACAAAATACAGATGTCGGTATTGTTAAAAAGCTTTAAAAAATACTGTCTCGAATGTATTCTAGTCATAATTCATAATTTAATTATTTTTTGTCAATTCTAAGGCCATATTATTTTAATGGAATGCTATTTTTAACCCTTTTATTAATGGTTGAAAACATCTGAATGTTTCCATAACTTTTTACCAAAATGTCTTTTATTTTTATTATTCTAACCCCTGGATTGAACAATCTTCATCATCAATATGTATAATGTAGATGCAAACCTTCCGGACCTATTTATTGGTTAGGGAATATTTATATAAGGAAATTTGATAACATTCTTTATCAACAATGTTTTTGGACATCTTTTCTCTCACAAAGCGGTACAAAATACAGATGTCGGTATTGTTAAAAAGCTTTAAAAAATACTGTCTCGAATGTATTCTAGTCATAATTCAATATGATTGATATTAATATGATTTACATAAGATATATAATATACTCAAAAAAATAAGATATATTTTTATATATAGATTTAATAATGGTATGAATGGTAATTATAATCAGATGCCTAATAGTCAGGTAGATTAATATAGATTTTAAACTTTAATTTTTTTCACATCAACTGTTAGGGGGGTGCACAAGAAAATTCATCCCCCTAGGCTGAACCTCTACTACGCCCCTGCCAGATAATTGTCTAAAAAGAAAATTTATAAATTTTTTTTTTTAAATTATTAATCTTTAAGAAATCTAACCCATGCTGATTATCATTTTCAGTACCACTTGCACTTAAACATTAAAATTTCTTACAACTTACAAGTTGCTAAATTTAGATTTAAAAACGAACCAAAACAAACGGAAAACCAAGGAACTATATACAGGAACCCCCAACTCAGTTATACGTAAATTGTGTACTATACTCTGTGGGGGTGAATGTGAACAAACCCATGGTGCCCCAACAGAAATTGAAGGGAAATGACTAAAGCTCTGATGTGAATGTGTAAAATTACAGTTAGAGCGAATACTTATGATTTTTGGCTTTCTGGTCAAAATGGAAAATACAATAGCAATATATTCTTATTCCACCCCTTAGGCCCTTTTCCCTCAAAAAAGATGCGTTGCCCCTGAATTCTTTGTTTTTGTCTCCTCCCACTGCAGTACACAGATTTGACGCATCAGATATGGCGGTTCCATTGTCTATATATTTCTTGCGGAAAACGATTGTTTTTGTTCCAGTTCTAGTAATATTTATGTATACCGTATAAAACGTTGAATATATATTTAATAGACAAATTAAACCTGTGAGCCTTCCAACGCCATTCCTAACATCGTTTTTCCCCTGATAGAAACTAAAATATGCAAAAAAAAAGGAAGAAAAAAATTCAAATAAAAATAAGATGTTAAAGGAATACAAAGTAAACCTGTGAGCCTTCCAAAGCCGTTCCTCACATCTTTTCTCCATTCACCTTCGTACTCAACACCTTAAATAGTTTTTTATTTGTTAAAGGTTTTTTTAAAAAACTTTTTTTCAACTAAGAACATATTGGAGAAGTTGCGTTTCTGAAATAACAATCTCTTTAACAGTGGGTTCACAACTACCCGAATTGTACTTCATGTACCCGTATCCATGTCTTTGTACCCCAACTACCTGATTTGTACTGTATGTACCCGTACCCGTGTCTGTGTACCTAAACTACCTGAATTGTACTTCATGTACCCGTATCCGTGTATGTCTACCCCAACTACCTGAATTGTACTGTATGTCCCCGTATCCGTGCCTGTCTACCCAAACTACCTGAATTGTACTGTATGTCCCCGTATCCGTGTCTTGTACCCCAACTACCTGAATTGTACTTAATGTACCCGTATCCTTGTCTCTGTAACCCAACTACCTGAATTGTACTTCATCTATCCGCGTATCCGTGTCTGTGTACCCCAACTACCTGAATTGTACTTCATGTACTCGTATCCATGTCTGCGTACCTCAGCTACCTGAATTGTACTGTATGTACCCGTAACCGTGTCTGTGTACCCCAACTACCAGAATTGTACTGTGTACCAGATACCTGTATCCGTTTCTTGTATTCCAACTACCTGAATTGTACTTCATGTACCCGTATCCGTGTCTGTGTACTCCGGACCATTGTCCTCTATACCATCCAGTGCTAGATTTTCCTAAATATATTCCTAAGTACAGTTCACATTTTTTAGTAATCATAAAATATTTTTTTTAGAACTTCAAGAATGGATTTTTTCGAATTACAATTCGAATTCGGTCATCAATATGTTCGCTAAAGCCGGTCAAACGGCCGAACAAATTGGCTGAATTTATTTTGAGGAAGCCCGATGGTTTTTGATTCCACGGGCAACCCAGGGCACTGCTAAAATCTTCATTTAAGACCAAGGACGGGACCAAGAGTCATTTTAAATTACGTCTACAATACTTTTAAAGGATGTTTCTTTATTTTAAGTCTTGTTTCTTGAAGGAACTGCATAGTAGACATAATTCAAAATAACTCTTTATTTAGATTTACAACTTACAAGAATTTTCCTAAAACTGCCATGAGTTCCGTTAATTATATTAATTTTAATAGAACTAGGGTTTCCACGAAATTACCATATTTGTTGCGCAAAATTTGCGTAATTTTCGCGCTAATATTTTTATTGCGAACTTTTCCGCATCTTTTGCGCATGAAGCGCAATAAGTATTGCGAAAACGTAAATTTAAACAAGGCCCTCTTTTCATTAAAAAAATAAACTTTCTTGATTTTGTTTCAGTAAATTGATGGCTTGTATTCCCATGATATCAATACACATTAATCCATTATTTACAAATTCTAGTTTCCACTCCTCCCCCCCTCCCTCCCCCTCTCTCCCTACCCCGCCCTCCCTCCCTCCCCCATAGCAGCCTTCAACCATCAAATGATTGCAGTTTTCATGAAATCTTTCCTATAAAAAGAAAACAACAAGAATTCTAACTAATAACTTGGAACACAGAAAAAAATTAGAAATTAGATTTTTTTCAGTAAATACATGTTTGAAAGGTCTTTACAGAGTTAAGCTTATTTTTGTTTTTCTTCAATATTATCAATTTTTTTTATTAAATTAAATAACCTTTGATAACATTGAGCCAGTGTTCGGATTGAATTTTACCCAGCCCCGCCTCTACCTCTGTACACCTGACATAAAGGGACTGTAGGCGTAATTTCAACTAATCCACCATTTGTATAGGACTCTGTCACATTCACAGCGATACCCTTTAAACCTTCTGCTGATGATGAACTATCACTTTTAATCTATCTTGAAAATTGATTTTTTTTTCAATTGAGATGCTCATTGCACGCGATTTTCTCTAGATTTAAACTGTCAGAGTTCAACACTTTTCAAGAGATATAAAAACAACATTCTATCCTCCTTGATTTTGGTAAAATAACGATTTAAAGGGATTACCGTTGTTAATCGGGAAAACGACGCTTTATCTTCATTATTTTTGCCAAGATAACTGTTGAAATATTTCCGACGTTTCACAAGATAACAATTTGTTTATTTTTTGTCATTGTGTTCATTTCCCCCGAATATAGAACACCAAAATATGTAAATGTACTTTTATTATCGGTGACTACATGGACGCTGAATACTTTTTGAAACGTTTGCTTAATATGAAACAGAAATTTTTTTATTACGAACTTGCAATTTTTACTGTAAACTTGTATTTTAGACGGAATAAAATTATGTACAGTCGTCACTCATCTTTTGCACAGTAACCGCAAATATCGTAGAATATGTTATATTTTCTACGGTAGGTTCTAATGTGTACAACTGCAGTACACGACCAATTAGAAAACATCTATCTTTAGGAATCTTTAAGGATCCTTAGGAAAGAAACAGAAAACTTCCAAAAATAAACTAAATTCATATATTTTATGCTTAATGTTATAAGTTAGAGTATTTCATTAAAAAATGTAAAACTTAACCCCTGGATGGGTATAATATGCAAAAAGTGGCGGTTAGATATGGCACTTGGCAGTCAAACATTAAATTCTAAATTGAAATTAAAAAATTTAGATTTTCAATTAGGGTTGACTGTGAAAACAGTTTTTAAAATAAAAGAATATCTATTAAAACAATCCCTTGGTTACCTTGAGTTGTTCATTTTATTCGGTTTAGGTTCGCATTTTGACTAAAGGAATTGAGTCTTTGCCACAATTCAAATTTTTTTCCTAATCCTAATATCTTTGCAACCGGATAGTGTACACATTTCATATTTCAAACTGAGTTTTTTTGATCTAACAGTATAGATTGTTTCAATATCTAATGTCTACGACATTATGTTGCAAAGATATTAGGTTTAAAGAATTTGAGTTTATGGCTCTAGCTAGAAATGGTTTATGTCACATATTAAGTTTAAAAGTTTAAACTGAACTGTGGCTTTCTGCCCAGAAATTATTTGTTTAACAGGATAATAAATAATTTGCCAAAAAAATAACTAAAGTTAAAGAGAAAACCACACAAGAAAAACGACCATTTAAATTTCGTTCAGTGAAATCTGATGTCTCATCCTCTGTGCAGGTAACTCTATCTAAACTTTAACTTTACATTGGTAAATAAGTGTTCTAAACACAGAATCTAAACTTAAACTGTAATCTGTATATTGGTGTTATAAACACAGAATCTAAGCTTGAACTGTAGTCTGTATATTGGTATATTAGTGTTCTAAACACAGAATCTAAACTAGAACCATGTTTCCTGTATATTGGTATATTAGTGTTCTAAACACAGAATCTAAACTTGAATTGTAGCCTGTATATTGGTATACTAGTGTTCTAAACACGTACAGAATTTAAACTTGAACTGTATCCTGTATATTGGTATATTAGTGTTCTAAACACAGAATCTAAACTTAAACTGTATCCTGTATATTGGTATATTAGTGTTCTAAACACAGAATATAAACTTGAACTGTAGTCTGTATATTGGTATATTAGTGGTCTAAACACAGAATCTAAACTTGATCTGTATCCTGTATTTTGGTATATTAGTGTTCTAAACACAGAATATAAACTTGAACTGTATCCTGTATATTGGTATATTAGTGCTCTAAACACAGAATCTAAACTTGAACTGTAGCCTGTATATTGGTATATTAGTGCTCTAAACACAGAATCTAAACTTGAACTGTAGCCTGTAACTTTATATTGGTATATTGGGAAATGAAGAAGCTTAACTCCGGTCTCAGCAATACTAAATACTAAATCCTTAAATACAACCAAGCAAACTCCAAAGATTGCTTAAATCAGTCAGACTTGATTTGTATACAGGAAGGCTATAATTTCTCTTTCTCAGAGTTAAAAATTATTGGATTTGTTTACACGCAAACTGTAGAACACATTTTTTACAGTTTATTTAATTTTTTTTTTATAAATAAAAGGTACATTTTTTCTCCTTTCTCCATCTGTAGGGACTGTAGGTTCTCATTTTTTACTTGCATCTTTTTCTCCGTCCATTTTTGTCGCTGTGTTTCCGCCATTTTCAGGACAGTGTTATCGGCTTTTCATTAAAACATATCTTCCTCAGATTTTTAGCTTTTTGCATTGTGCTGCTGTAATTTGGCACAGTGTGTCCAATTAAACATGGGAATCTATGGGTATCCATGTGGCATGTGAACAAAATAATTGCAGTATTTCAGTTTACACATCTAATATCGAAAACGCCTAGTCTTTTCTCAACATGAATTCTACCATTTTTGTAACTTCAAAATTGAGATATTGCAAGTTTTTTTAAGTCACGAGAAAGATAAACCCATTTATAAAAAACTCGAAGACGGTAAGACGCACAGCCTCAATGCCTCAATGCCTCAATTTTAAACTTTCTCTACCATGCAATAAATATCAGAATTCAAAGACGACTTTCAAGTCGTCTCTCTAATCCCATGTTTATTGAGACATCCTGTATCTGTCTATCTTTGTGCGTTTCTTTTAACTTCATGCCCTGTATCTATGATATATTTCATTTTATCAGATTTTTTATCAATCAAACACAAAGAAAAACTGTTTACACTGCAGACTCTAAACTAAGCTTTCAATTATTAATGAATGAATAATGGGGTTTATTCATCGAGATATTAGTAATAGAGGGGGCATCTGGAATTTTAGACTTCTTGTTGTACAGCCACTGTACACAATGACCCGATCAGAAATTCTACCTGGGGGATCATAGTTCGTAGATCAGTGTTTTAAGACATTATTGTTTGAAAGTGAAGACTACAATATTCAAGCAAAGAAAACAAGCCCATATGATTTTTGTATAAATATGAGACATGACAAATAGAGAAAAAAATAAAATACTTCTCTTTAATAACATCTTGCTTCTTATCAAATTCTTTACTTCTGAAATCTACATTGTGCATTAACTCTTAGGAATATAGGTTTCTGACTTTTAGAATGAAAAGCAATTCTGAACTAATAATAGATCTTCATCTAACCTAACGTGAAACAAGTGAATTTTAAATATAAATAATCTATTGGTTTCGTAGGAGCACCAGTTTTGAAAGCTTTTGACGCAATCCATTTTTCTTTACATTTTGGTTCACTGCATATAAAAATTGGGTGTTTTGTCTTCCAGATAACTTGTTCTATCCACTCTTTTAGTATATGTTTTGAAAAATTTCTGAACCCGAAACATCGTTGTTAACACGATTTTTGACACTATAATATCTCATTGTTGAAAAATATTTAAATCAGCTGTCCACACAATACCGTACAAATAGATGTACTTAGGATTAAACCCACTGTACTCTATGATACCAACTCAGTCATAAGGAAACATTTTTCGACAAAATTCACTGTACAGTATAAACCTAGCCAGGCAAAATTAGGAGATTTATGCCCGCCCCCGGGGTTTATTGGAGAGTAACTTAACTGGGGTTTAAAATCTTCAGTGCCCATCAAATCGTTAAGAAATTCCAGAAATCTTTTCCCCGCCCATTATTAGTACCTGCTGCTGTTCAAAATATTTTACTCTTGACACTTGTGGAAGAAACATCGTCGGTCCAAAATAATAAAGGAAATAAAAAAAAGAAACGAATCGACATCATACTTTTATATTATATAGACGTAAATTCTAGTCCCACAGAGGCAAGTGCCCCCATTTAACCCAAAGGGGGGCACATTATCTAAATACACGTCGTCTTATGGATCTCACTCACATACAGGGTGTCCCAAAAAACATGAGAATTCAGTGACGAATTCGAAATCGTCTTTGTTATTAATTAGCATTGTAATGCTTAATTTCAAAAGCCATAATATTCTTATGCCTGCTAGAGTTTATTTTATGAAAAGGGTAAAAGACTTTAAAGATGTGTTTATTATGTCTCCGCAAGATGAACATTGAAGACGGACAAGTTTACTCTGTTTGTATACTGCAATTTTCTTATTTTACTAAGTACAACCGTATGCAGTCAAAACATAAACAAACAAAATATGAACTTAGCAGACGAAACTCTTACAGATCACAGCTTTCTCAGTAGGTATCACTAAACTAAATCAAAGAATTATTTAAAAAGACGATATCGAATTCGTCACTGAATTCCCATGTTTATTGGGACACTCTGTAGATAAATATTTTACTCCAAACTGACAGTTTCATGCATGGAGCATTCCCTTTTCTTTTCCATGTTCTGTTTAAGTTCACGAACTTATCTTCCTTATTTATCGGATATTTTCTTCATATTTCATGTTACTGACATAAATATTAATTAATCTTTTCATATATTTTAATGTTTTATTCTAAAATACATAAATTTGCTTTTTTAAATGCATCACTATATTAATCTTAATCCTTAAATATCTAATTCTAATAAAATCAAAATAAACTTAATACTTAAATGCGTTGTTGCATTAAATAAATAATTTGTAATCATAATACAAGAGAATTGTAAGAGGCAGTATAACTGGCAGAGTTTAGGCGGAGTATGTTGAGGCGGAAACGTTTCCGCCTGTCCCGGTCCAGTTGGTGTGATGGTAGGCTCCAGGCTGACCCAGCAGTTCGTAAGTGTGCGCTCCAAAATAATCTCTCTGCGCCTGAACATTTATTATTGAAATCATCAATAGATCGAATATTATCAAGGGGGAGGAGAAGAAATCTAATATGGGAATAAAATGGAACGTAGCAACGATTCCAGAGGAAAATGGAACGGATTCTGTGCAATAAAGGAACGTATCCGGGGTAAAACGGATCGAATGTGGGAAAAAAATGGAACAGTAGCATAGAACGAATCCAAAGTAAACTATAGAATGATTCAGGGTAAACAACGCAAAAAAGGTGAGGATCGGGAGTAAATAGAATAACTCTTTGGTAAAAATTCAAAGTAAACTAGAACGGATAAGGGTTAAAGGAATAGAGTTTTTGTCACAAACTCTGATAATCTAATTCCTATATTTTTTGAACCCAATGTCGTAGATCTTAGACATTTCAAACTATGAATTATGCTAGACCAAATAATCTAAGCTTGAAATAGTAAAAGTCTACGACATTGGATTGCAAAGATATTGGAATAAGAACATCAGAGTTTGTGTCAAAAACTCAATTGCTTAAACGGAACCCGGATAGAATGGAACGAATGCGGTAAGGAATACAACGGATCTAAGATTAAGGAATAAATAAAGAGTTCCAAAGAATAAGAGTGAAATTGAAGGATATTAAGTAAAACGGAAGGATTCAAGACTGGAACGAATCTTGAATAAAATGAATTGGATTGAGGGTGAATAAGTTAATAAATTAATGAACAGTGGGTTTCGAGGGGAGCGGGATAAGTCAGAGCTTGTTTTCTACCTGGATTAGGTTAGCAGGGAGCATATCACTTCTATATCCGTCGTAGAAGGCAAGGGCGGTAGAGAAGCAAGGGGTGGGAACGCCCATCAGCACAGCCTGGCTTACGACACGCCTCCAGGCACCCTTAACATTAATATTTGGTAGAATAAATCCAAATTTTTATTTGCTAAAAATAATAACGACAAAAAAGATTTATTAAAATCAAACAATTTTTACCTGGGCATTATGGATTGCATCCCTGAAGAAATCATCCACCAGAAGGTTATCAAGAGCAGGGTTTTTGTCAAAGGCATCCTTGATATTTCCAAGGAAGCGGGACCTAAAAAGTCGTCTTACTCAGTGAAATTTATTTAGATCGTCTTTACTTTTGTGTTAATAAAAATTTGTATAAGAGTGAATAAAAAAGTTTATCTCTTTAAAAATTTCTGTATATTTTTAAGGCAAAAAGTTGGCAAACCACATTTTGAAAATCCCAAATGGTTTCTGATTAATTATTAACTAGAATCTCCTAGCGGTCTTTAATTTTGATATTTTCAAATCTTTCAGAGGAAAACAATGGAATTCTCGTCATCTTCTTTTTTCTTTCAATAAATAACTGACGCTTCAAACTATTTAACTATTTCTAAAGAAGTGCCTTAATTTTTTTAGAAATAAATCAGTTGCAACAATTGCTTAATATGATATTCTTAGCGACATTTTTTAGTTGAAAGAAAGTCCTTAGTTTTCTGGTTCTCCCTGTATTGAAATTAACTTTTTTTTAAATGCCGCGTAAAACATTTATTTTTGTACCTGATAATACATCCTCCTCTCCACATTAGAGCTATTCCTCCATAGTTCAAGTTCCAACCAAACTCCTGGGCAGCCTGATAAAAAAGTTCAAAATAATAATTTATCAAATTATATTTTCAAACCTAAATCTGAGAAGCTTTAAGCAATGTTTAGTGAACATAACTGATTTAGGACATATACTTGGTTTAGTGAATACAATAATAATGCCAACAAAATTTTAGTTTACGGTGGTTTGAGATTTTATCAATATAATGAAGACGACTTTCGTTTAAATTACGATTTACATCAAGATTTTAAACAGCATGGAGATACAAAAAAATGGAAATAAAACTGTCAATTAAAAAGGCTTCTTAAATAATTACTTGTAACTTAAAATTCGAAAACAGCTTATTGACAATCAAAACTTAAATAAGAAGTCGTCTTCATTATATTGATATAATCGCCTACCACAGAACAATATGCAACATTGCTCCAAGAGGTAAAATGGAAAACATTGAAGGGAATTCTGAACAAGAAAACAACCATAGATAATGGATAAAGAGAATTCAAGTAAGCAAGAATCAGGAATAATGAAATAGAATAAACCTTATCATCTAAATAAAAAATACTAAAATATTTTAAAAAATTATAAATTTACCTGTCTTAGTAGCATAAATCCTTGAGCATAGGAAACTATTTTACTAGCGTACAGAGCTTGCCTAATAATATCTTTATTAGAAAATCAACGAATTCCAGTCAATTGAGGATCCATGTCTAAAATGAAGATCTGGTTTTGATGATGAAAGGTAAAAGATCAATGTCAAAACGAAGATCTGATAATGATAAAAGGTAAAAGATCCTTGTCAAAAACGAAGATCTGATATTAATGAAAAAAGGTAGACCCATGTCAAAAACGAAGATCAGATCTGCTATTAATGAAGACAGGTAAAAGATCTATTTCAAAAACGAAGATCTGCTATTAATGAAGAAAGGTAAAAGATCCATGTCAAAAACAAAGATCTGATATAAAAGAAAATCGGTTATTGTTAAAGATTCTGAGCAGTTAACTAAAACAAACAGTCTGATATTAATATGAAATAAAGATACTAGTTGGCAAAAGATCAACTTAAAAATCCTGATCTAGAAAAAATAATAAATATAATGAAGATATCCCTGATATCCTCGACGAATGCTGCTTTTTCTCCAGTAAACTCCGCTCCCTCAGGACCCTTCAGAATCTTGCTTGCACGCTCCCTTTCACCCTGAACATTAAAAGCGTCACCTTAATTTATTCCAAAACTAGACAATTTCAAAGATAAAAAACGACGATATCTTCAACATTTTTTGTCTAGATAAACCTTTAAATGGTACCAAAACTCCAGACTTATCTAATAGCAAAATAGATGTATAGATAATAATAATGTTTGCCAACAGCCCGATCTGTTTTATCAAGCATAAACTTATATAAGTTTTTGAATGGAGGATGTGCGAAATTGTGAAAGGAGTTCCAAAAACAGATCGGTACTATTTTGATATGGTTTGTGGATTACATCCAGACGGATCAATCCTACAGCTTAGTTGAATTATCCAATCCTGATTTTGGAAAGTTCCAGACTCTCCCCTTTCAGTGCAGATGCAGAGCTTCTAAAAAAAATATTCGAAATATTTCACCTTCAACGATGAAAGACAACGTGCGAACACACTTTCTCCGATGAGTGTGACCGGCATACCGTATTCCAGGGCAGAGATAGCAGTCCATTTACCTGCAAGTTAAAGGGATTAGTCACAAAAATGAAAAACAACATTCGTTACAAGTCTTACAAGTAAGGATAATTGAATATTTGAAGACACCATATAAATCTTGCGTAAATTGAAAACATACCCATAATCTCGATCGCTTAATCTCGATATCCACAGTGGACACGTTTAAATTTTACGCAAAGTCTGCTTGAGCTCTTGATTTAAGATATCCGGAATTTCTCTGTTTTCTCATTGGTTTAACGGAAAATTCCCTGGCTTCTGATTGGATATATGTGAAATTATTACGGGATATCATATTAAAAAAATATTTTTTATTAATATAATCCTCAAATGTTTAGACCTTCATATGTAATCCTTTTTTCCAAAAATTTCCAAGTTTGGTTGAGATTGCTTTACAACTATAAAAGTAATTTGTTAACAAAGGTAGGCAGTATTTAATTTTTGACCATCGTCAACGAAGACCCTTCGTTAACGATCTTTTTAAGACAAAAAACGATTAACAGCCCTATTTACAAATGGTTAAACTTTTTTAGATTAAATTGGAAATGAACTCAAACTGTNCCAGGAAATACCTGTTCCTTTCTGTCCGGCACTGTCCCTTATTTTCTCCAGCAGATAATCCCCACTCTCGTCTCTAGAAAAAAACATTAATTACATCAATTTTAACGATTCCAACTTGATCCATCGGAAATCCGGCAGTTTTTATTGATAGGCCAAATCTGTGTGATAACATTATCCTCAGAGACCTTTTGGGGCCTCTGGAAGACAGTTTTTTTACAGTTATCTTTTGATAGAAATATCAGACAGAAATAAAATAAAGATCTTGATGTGAATTTAAACAAATTTTCAATAATCACTTCTTCGTTTGTAATTAATTTATTAAATAATTTCCAATTCTAGCTGATTTAGTGCGACCAAACTATTAAATTCTTCCAATATAACAAAACAAATTAACATCTAAATTTTCGTTAAATAAACCATAGATTCGAAGAATGATAATAAGGAAGTTAAGCTAATGATATTTTAATTATTGGACCATTAAGCATTCGTTCAACCACAGCAGTTACCAATATCAGTTTAAATAAACGTAAATACTTCAGATTCAATTATTATTTTCAATTTATACAGAATCCTTCAATATCATACAGATAATGATGTTTCTAAAACGGAACAAGATATCTTTTAAAACTTCCTTTAAAAAATCTTTTAAAACTTCTTTTAAACATCTTTTAAAACTTCTTTAAAAAACATTTCTATGGGAAATTAAACCTACTTGTATTTAAGAATATTTGAAGATATCTCTAAGAATAAAACCTACTTGTATTTAAGAATATTTGAAGATATCTCTAAGAATAAAACCTACTTGTGTTTAAGAATATTTGAAGATATCTCTAAGAATAAAACCTACTTGTATTTAAGAATATTTGAAGATATTTCTATGAGGAAGGAGTCTAGCTCTCCCTTGTTCCACTCCGTGAAGCTATTGCTCATCTCCTCGTTGTCCATGTTCAAGGCATCCTAGAGCACAAGTAAACATATGATTGTCAAGTGGGACCCATAAATTCACAATTTCAAGAGGTTTAGAATTCACGCTTAATAAATGATATTTAGGCTTGGATAGATAATTTAATTTAATGGAATTAATGAAAATTTCTTTATTTTCTGAGAAGTAGGAATTTATCAACATTGTTAAGTGCGGTTGCTTTGTGATCTTGTTTCTTAACAAAACTAACAAAGAAATTTAAATGAAAACTGCACAAAAAATAAACATACTGGGTTCATGGAGCTAGCAAAAATTATAAATTTAAGCAAAACAAATTTAACCTTATTTATTTTACATTCTTCAGCGCCTTAAAGCCCAGAAAAAACAATTTAAAAAAAAATTGATAAATTTTCTTAAAATCAAAAAAATTTAAATTCAAAACTTTATTGATAATCTCTGAACGTGAATGATCATATTTTTAAAGGGGAGGGGAGGTCTAACAACTGTTTACATTTCACTAAATCCTTAAATTTCTATATCTTTGTTTATAGATTAAATTTTCTGCGAATGTTCACAAACAAGGGCTAGGCATAGCAACAGCTGATGCTAAATAATACCTAACCATTTGGGCTAGGCATAGCAACAGCTGATTCTAAATAATACCTAACCATTTGGGCTAGGCATAGCAACAGCTGATTCTAAATAATACCTAACCATTTGGGCTAGGCATAGCAACAGCTGATGCTAAATAATACCTAACCATTTGGGCTAGGCATAGCAACAGCTGATTCTAAATAATACCTAACCATTTGGGCTAGGCATAGCAACAGCTGATGCTAAATAATACCTAACCATTTTAATATGACAACCTAATTATCAAAAAGAAAAAGTGGAAAATAAATGTGCGCAAACTTGAATTGTACGACCACTTTCATTAAAAGTTCAAATGACTTTCCAGTTCACAACAAAACAGTTTTAAAATAAGATCAAGGAGTATGAAATAGAAGGGAGATACAACTAACACGGCCCCCACCCCTGCCATATGATTATACATGCTTTGCAGACGGTACTCCATTTTTATTAGAAATATTCAGAATAGGTTATTGTATACGCGGTAATTGTACATCAGACAAATATTTCTTATAAAAATGAAGTGCCGTCTGCAAAGCATGTATAATCATATGGTAGGGCGGGCCGCGTCAGTTGTATCTCCCTTCTATTTCATACTCCTTAGATTAGATCTAATCAATCACCAATGCTGGAGACACTTTGTAAAGAAACCACAACTGAAAGAAATATCATAATGTGAATCGGACATACCGCTCTCTTTTTGTCTTAAATTGAAAGTCATTTGAATTTACTTTTACAGTTCCTTTAATGTTTTATAAACAAGAACTATTTTATGACTATAATGTTTAACATCTAACTATTTATTTATAATAATTTATTCAAATTACAAAACAAAGCGTTAATATAGAAATAAAAACTTATTGTAATTATTATAAAAGCAATATCTTTCCTGTATTAAAAGTTAAGATTATAAAATTTAAAAAATGCTATGCCTAGTCTATACTGCCTAATCTGATGTCAGAACTATTTATTTTAAATCTTGGGATTAAGCATTGGTCTCCATCTTTAGGATTAATTTAATTCCCCTTTGACATTCTTTTATATCGTCATATCCTGCAGGGATAACTAAATTGAAGGAAAAATGCATTTATCTACAAATTTAAAGAGCCCACATTGGATATCGAGATCAAGCCTGAACGATTAACGATACACAAAGGTTCCGACCTTGAAATTTAACCAATAAGAAAAAAAACCACTAAAATCTGTTAAATTCAATGAAAAATGCTCAAAGATAAAAGCAGCGATGATAAGTACACCTTTTCAAGTAAAAAAGTTGCAAAGTACTTTGAAGCTATGTTGAAAAAATATAGACTTCCTACCTTCATGAGATGATAAGCTTCACAGATAAGCTGCATATCTCCGTATTCAATTCCGTTGTGCACCATCTATCATGGGTTACTTAAACTCGAACCAAACATCTTCATATGTACAACCTTGGATAATATGTACAATTCTAGTACTCAACACTGTACTGAATGTAGAGTTGTTGAAAAACTTGGCCACACTTAAAACTGTATTTTGTTATAGTTTTCTTTTATCAAACTTGCAATATTTTTATCCTAAATAAAAAATGGAAGACAAACTAATCATTTAAATTGAACTTTTTTTGTTCGTCTTTGATTTGTTTCTTATATAAGTTTTGAACTTGAGATATGATATATATATATATATATATTAAATATATATATATATATATATATATATATATACATTTGTCTATATATTTTATCTTTAGGTCAAAACTTAGCGTAATGTTATAAGAAGAGAAATGTATAGCAAAAAAAACAATTAACTCCCATATTTTGTAGATCCTGTAAACCTGTTAGAAGTACAATAATGTAAAAAGTTTTGAAAAACAAACCAATCCATGCCTTTATATATATAGTGTATTTGTTTTGAGTTTAATGAAGTTTTCTTTTTTACCCTGAACAAAATTAAATATTTTTCACAAAACTATAATAGCTCTTTTACATCTGTACTTTTGTTAAGTTTTAAATACACTATTAAAAGTTTTTAGAATAATTCAATGAAGTATGTATTGTATAGTGTATACCCCTGATATTCCTGATATAGTATCCTATGGAGTTTATATTGCTCGCTATCTTTTAATTCCAAGATTAAAATTTGATTTACCGAGACCCGAGTAGTTAAAACTATATACTATCAGGAAGTAGTAAACCTGGACGGATAAAAAGAGTGGTATTCTAGTCATGGATCAACCTAGTGAAGATAAACCAGGAACCGACATACAGTGGTCGGCAATTATATCAATACAATGATAACGACTTTTTAAAATTAAGTTTTGATTGTTAACAAGCTTTATCTTAATTACAAGTTTACAAGTAATTAAAGAAAAGCTTTTTTAAGTGTATATAGTTTCACGGACATAGCGCGAGATTTGTTTATACCTCTTAGAAAATGCATTACAATTATACTGTAAACAAATCTATAGGGGTTCCTTAGTCCTGACTTATAGTTCTTGTACGTACTTAAAGTTGACAATAATCTAGTTGTAATTCAGAAGAAGATGTTGATTTATCTTAGAACAAAGAATTTATTCCTGGTTTCCGTACTGATTTTGGAGCAACAAAAAAACTGTTGAAAGTAAAAACAAAATTCTATTATAAATAAAAATATGATTAATCTTTTTCTAGGGTCATGTGTAAAAAAGAAAAGGATTAGTCGATTTTTTCATACCCCCCTCTACGCTATCAATATAGTTCTTCCCCCCCCCCCCATTTCAAAATTGGAAGGGAGGGGGGGGGGGAGAGGATGATTAAATACATACTCCTCCGTCAACTTAGTACAAAATTGATCTGTTTTGTTCTGAATGGTTTTGAGTTTAAAGTTTCCTTGACAAAATGGCCGCTTCCATCTTCACCTACCCAGTCACAGCAGGGCTCATCTCCAGACTTAGCGCAGATAGACTAAACACGCAGATAATTAATATCACGAGGCCAAGGAGGGGGGGGGGGGGGTAGGAAGGGTCAGGGGTATTCAAAATTGTGAATGTACTAAAAAGTCAAGATTTAATAAACACTCAGATTTTTTCTTCTCATTTATCATTTTTTTATTTAGAAATTATGAAGTTGATGACACTGCACTGAACCAGTAAATTAAGATTTAAATGGCCGGCGTAGATAATTGGTTTATGAATGAGATGAAATCTGGAACTAATTGATTGATCGATTTATCTTGAAGGATGAGGCACCTGGAATATCGGCTTGAGGGCTGGCCAGGCAGCTGGGTTACCTCCAGGCATCAAGGAGGGTCCATACCTTGCCCCCTCCTCCCCACCGGATACTCCTGATCCAACAAACAGAAGACCCTTAGACTCCAAATCCTTGGTTCGCCGCCTGAAGTTTTAGATTTAATATTAGGAAGTTTGGTAACGTAATTTCCAACATGGATCCAATTCGTTTCAAACTTGAGGAAAATGATTCTTTCATAGGTGGGGAACGGATTTATGGAGATTTTAGGAAAAATATGAAATGAACTTTTATATTCCACGAAAAAACACATGAAAAATATTCCTTAAACATTGGGAATTAATATAAAGAAGAAGGGGGCAATAAATTTTTTCAGAAAATATAAAATGAATATACAATATACAATATACAATATACAATATACAATATACAATATACAATATACAATATACAATATACAATATACAATATACAATATATACAATATACAATATGCAATATACAATATACAATATACAATACACAATATACAATATACAACATTTCAATCCTTTTTAGTGCAGCAGTTTGGATATTTTGTAAGGCAACCCTACAGAGTACAGACAATATAAAGAATTCAACATCCAATAACAATTGAGCTAAAAATCTGTCGGATTTATTTTACGACTGTTCCCAGATTTAATGTTGCTGGCCTAGGCCTGGTATATTGCGTACTCTAGTTTGAAGTATATGATCTACTATTAAGCGCGTAGTCGGATTAGCATAATAATAATCCCGATTATAAAACCTGAATTATACCGCGCACACATTATATTCAACGCGCTCAATGGATGCAGGATAATGAGATCTAATTTAGATGAAGGATAAGGAGGGATTAAAAACAAACCATACTTTTCTCTCTAGCTGGAAAGGGACTCTGTAAGCGTAATTTCATGTAACCCTCTATGCAATGATGATTATGCCCGATTAACAACGGTACCGTTAAAACCTTCATCTGATCAATAATGTGGGAGAAATAGTTGTTTTTCTAGAATTAAAAGTGTTTAATTCAAAGCATTTCTATGTTTTCCTGCAGTTGAAAATAATAGAAGGTCATTTTGCGATATTATAAACATTAATATTCAATTTCTTCTTCATCAGACATAGCTTTTCAAGGGTACTGTTGTGAATCGGGTATTGCTATCTTTGCATGGAGGGCAACCTGAAATTACGCTTACTGCCCCTTTAACCGATAAAAAATGCATATTAAATGGATGTTTTATTATTCTTAAATTCCTTCATTTGTTACAGAAATTGTGTATAATTGGGTAAATTGGAAATAATCAAATAATCATTTGTAAATTTAGCATCTTTAGCATCTTCAGAATCAGAACACTTGAAACATGTAAAAATAAGATTGAAGAGTGTTTAATATATTGATATGTTTACCCAAATTAACCCACTTTTCCCCAAAACGTTTAAATTCAACATTTAAAATATCCGCATTCCAAAACCAATCGAAGGGGGGGGGGGATTAGTTTTCAATACCCCTGTCTATGATGGTATTCACCCTGCTTACCTTGTATCCTGGTATTCTGAGTTCCCCCCATCTATGATGATATCCCTCCTGCTCTCCTTATATCATGGTATTTTGAGTTCCCCCCATCTATGATGATATCCCCCCTGCTTACCTTGTATCCTGGTATTCTGAGTCCCCCCTTCTATGATGATATCCCCTCCCTGCGTACCTTGTATCCTGGTATTCTGAGTTCCCCCCATCTATGATGAAATCCCTCCTGCTCACCTTGTATCCTGGTATTCTTAGTTCCCCCCATCTATGATTATATCCCCCCTGCTTTCCTTGTATCCTGGTATTCTGAGTTCCCCCCATCAATGATGATATCCACCCTGCTCACCTTGTATCCTGGTATTCTGATTTCCCCCCATCTATGATGATATCCCTCCTGCTCACCTTGTATCCTAGTATTCTGAGTTCCCCCCATCTATGATGATATCCACCCTGCTCACCTTGTATCCTGGTATTCTGAGTTCCCCCCATCTATGATGATATCCCCCTGTTCTAGGAGAGGAACAAGCTTGGCAATGAAGTCGTCCACAGCGCTTCCAGCCTTAACCAACATCATCACCTTCCTAAGTTAAAGAATAAAAATGATAAATAATTTCATTAATAAAAAGTTTTATAAGTCAACCATGAAGTCATACTAAACTTAAAATGTGATAAAAAGTCTAGTTGTTTAATAAAGGTCGAGTTGTTGTTCGTGAACCAGGGGTGGTTAATGATTATTTTCTTAAAAAATTATTCCCCCCCCCACTCTTTGAAATACATTTTCCCCCGGAAGTTAAGTTTGCGCAAAAAAATGGTTAGGATTTTCTTCGTTGAATGGGGGAAAATAAATAATTTTTAAGAGAAAATTTTGGAGAAAATGAAAGATTTTTGGAGAAAAAATAAATAATTTTTGGGGGAAAAATAGTGAATGAAAAAACTTGACTTTTGATGTCCAAATTTTCCTTTTTCCCGATTCATCAAAATTCCTTGAGGTAATTCTTAAAATTATTTACCATCGTCGAGTACTGTTTATTATCAAGTTTGTATACTGTGTACAATGAACAGTGATATAAATACCTGTTTTGGGCCAAATACCCCCCTTTCTACGCCCCTGATCAAGAAAAAAAAAATTTGAAATTTTTTTATGCCCCTTATGGATTAAAAGAATATAGGTGCAAAGTTAGCACCATTTATCTCTATTATTACAAGAGTTATTACAAACTCCAGGAGACTAGTGAGGTCCTTTATAACATATTAGTTCTAACTCAGATGTGATCACTGATAATTCAAGAGGCACCTTACTTTAGTGATAACCAGACAACTCTGGAATAGAATTTCGACTTGTAAACTCAAATTATGACTTTAAATAGTCCAATGAACATGAAGCACAGCAAATAATAGTAAAGATAGTAGTAGAGATATTTGCTTTTTAACAACATTATATATACTTCAGTATTACTTTAATGTCGTCTTCATATTCTACAGTTTTCTGGTTTACTCGTTGAAAAATGAGAGAAGTAATTACAAAGCTATTAGCTTTACTAGTAACTTATAGATCACTTATTAAGCAAAATGGGTCTGTTTACATGACACAATTGCTGTTGCTCATGTTCCCTGGACTCGTTAAAGTCATGACTAGTGTTTATAAGTCGACTTCTTATTTCAGAGTTTTCTAGTTATCACTGTACCATAAAATGTTTACCTGGGTTTCTTAAGTTTAGCTACCATCTCCTCTAGACTATGGGCACCAACCACCTTGGTTCCCTTGGCCTGTAGGATCGAGGTTATAATAATAAATAAATAAATCTATTTGACATGATGTTTATCTCAAGGGAGTTTTCTTCACGGTAAAAATTATCTAGTCAATTAAATTCTAAAAAATGTTCTTCTTAAAACTTTCATTTGTGAAGTTGTAATACAATATGTTCACTGAATAAAGAATTAAATTAACTGACATTTTTCTTCTAGATAAGCCTTTTTTTTTTACCACCGTTTCACCAACATAACCGACCTATAATTCTCCTAACAGAGGGAGGTTAAGTAACTTAACGTCTCTTGAGACAGTTATAAAAAATAAGCACTCGCTCTGCTAAGTTTTCTAGAAAAAATTCGCACATTTTCATCTCGTAAAGACGAAAAAAATTGTGTACAACTACTTTTTCGGGAAATAAAAAACTTGCTTAACCATGGTTTCCCTCGACCAATTTTGTCTAGAAAACATCCCTCGCTGTGCTCTGGATGTTTTGTAGGAAAAATTGGTCGTGGGAGCCCAGGCTTGGTAAAGTAAAATTACCTTAACTTCCCTGTAAAAAAGTGAAAATAATTATTAAGTCCGCGAAATGTTGATATTAAGGAAACAATGTTTTTGATCATATTATAATCTTTCTGAGAAAAAAAAACTACATTCCGATTATTCTCCTTCTTCTTATATTATATACCTTCTAAATACCAATTTAACCCCCCCCCCCCCACTTATACTTTTTTTTAATGATTACCTCATTCTCAAGGAACTGATCAACCTTGGCGGTTGTCCTGTTGTAGGCGACCACCACGAACCCGTGGTCGTTCATGTTCAAGATCAGGTTCTGACCCATAACAGCCAGACCTTGAGAAAACAAGAATGTACAAAATATTCAAACAGATTTAAAACTGGAATAAGTATTCTTCATAAAAAAAGCAGGGGTGTACATTATCTTGAACATTTAATTGTTTTTTTTTCCTCTGAATTGGGAAAATAAATGATATTTAGGAGGAAATAAATGAACTTTTGAGGAAAAAAGAATGAAAACCAATTTAATGTAAAAAAAATCAGTAACCCCTCCCCCACCCCCCAACTTGGGGAGGGGGGAGGTTGTAATTCTTAATATTATACACTCCGGGCATAATAAAAAGGATTGTATTTTAACTTTAAAGTTAAAATTCACGTTTATTGAAAAGAAATAATGTTGACATGGACACCATGTATTGAAATGATATTGAAGTCAAAACATATTCGTCCTTTAATTCTCATGGTTTTAACTAATGATATTTTTAAGGCATTCTTCTCAAAACAATTTAGATTTTCAATATTTTACGTTTATCAGACCACCTTATTTACTAAATTAAGTGTGTCCTAAGAAAGGTTAAATAAATTTACAGTTCTTGTACTTTTGATTTTTCAAACTACGAATTCTGCTAGTTCTTATAGTCAAATTATAATTTAAGTAGTAAATGCAAGAGTTTGGGCTATTATAAAAAATGAACATAGAAAAACCTTCGCAGACAGGATTATCATTTAGTGCAGAAAGAAAGTATTTTTATTAATAAAATGATTCACCAAATGTTCACCAAGAGCAATGAAAATAGCTACCAATAAGAGCAATGAATATACTTACCAATAAGAGCAATGAATACATTTTCCAAAAGAGCAGTTAATATATTTACCTATAGAAGCAATGAATATATTTACCAATAGACGCAATGAATATATTTTCCAATAAGAACAATGAATAGATATTTACCAAGAAGAGCAATGAAAATATCTACTAAAAAGAGCAATGAATATATTTACCAATAGAAGCAATGAATATATTTACCAAGAAGAGCAATGAAAATATCTACTAAAAAGAGCAATGAATATATTTACCAATAATGAATATATTTACCAATAGAAGCAATGAATATATTTAACAATAAGAGCAATGAATATATATTTACCAATAAGAGCAATGAAAATATCTACTAATAAGAGCAATGAATATATTTACCGATAAGAGCAATATCTCCAGTAGGTTCTCCCATCTTCACAACTGTAGCAGAGTTTCCCATCTTAAATTTTAAATTAAATTGTAAAAAAGCTGATAATTTTTTATTTGGAAATGGCAAATTGAAAAACTGATAAAAATTGATGAATTCATAATAAGGAAAACAATTGAAAACCATTAATCCCTTAAAAAAAAAGTTGGAATAGGTTTTGCAAAAACATCTAAATTCGCATGCAACTGCACTAAAAGTGATAGGATTGAAATGAAATGTTCAAAATGCATCTGTTCTCAGAATATCATTTTGGGAGCTTTCCTTTGAACTATCTGAAAAATTTAATAAATGTGAAAAGTGTTCAATAACAAAATAAATTAATTACTAAGTGTGTGCACAGAATGATAAACAAATGAACAAAATAAAGATAAAAATTGCAATTTAAAAAATAGATAAGAAGGATAATGTGGTGAACAGGTTTTATCATTGTCAAATTACAATTTAACGACTAAATTAAATTTTATAAAAATTCGAAAATATTTATTCCAGAATAATATATGCAGATTCCTAATACACTTTACGATAATGATAATTCAAAGTTAGAATAATTATTGAGAAAAAAAAATTCCGATTTGCAAATTTACGTCAAATTGTATTTGAATCTTAAAGAATTTTGACTAGAAATTAGTAAGAGAAACAAATAACAATTTTGAAACATTTTTACAATTTATACAAATTTATCAATTTTGACTTCCACTTTTCATGTTGAATGGTTCAAGGTTATATTGCAAGGAGAGTTAATTGCAGTTCTATCTGGGCGGAATTTGTTAACAAGAGTAGATGCATCAGTGTTCGTTTAGTATCCGAGGAGGTTAAAGCATTGAATTTTGAAAATTTTGATAATTCACATAATAGTTTCCTATGGCCAGAATATTTCATTGATTTTTTATGTGAAATATGGATCCCATGTCGGGCTGTGACATCAGTCTTGTGTTTGCATTACCGCTCAGAGACAGTACACTGCAGTACAAAAGATGTGTACACCTCTGAAATAACTTTCCTTACATTATAACCTTGGAATGGTTTTTCTTAATGGCATATAACTAGTATTGTAATTGTATTGTAGTAAGCCACATAGTAAGTATAGAGGCATTGAACCAGTGTACTAGTGGTATTTGGTGTGGTTAGTCACCGACTAGTGTATAAGGCAGTAAAATAAAACCATGTGTGTAGGGTGTATAGTGGTTGTATGGTTTACAGAGTGTACCAGTTTAAGTATTTAAATCTAGAACCTCCTGCAAGGGGGTTGATAATAACCTAAAGTTTAAAGTTTTACTTATTTTTCTCTATATCATGAGCGTATTATTGAATCCCTGAGTATTAAAGTTGATTTCCCTACTGGCAAATTAATATTTGTATCTCTGTATAGATCATCCTTTTTTAAAATCTAATTCTAATTAACTTAATCCTTCCTTGAATCTTTGTCAGGCCTTTTAAGTTCTTTATCAATGAAAGATTGTTATATTATGACGGATTCTAACATAGACCTTCTCTCAATTGCAGTCTCTAGTTTAAAGGGACTGTAAAGGAAAAATTAAAGGGATGAAACCTGAGAATCTCAGGCATTGAACGATACATATAAAACATCTATCTGATGTTCCCGTCTCGAGAAACTGATATAGAACTGTGTCAAAATTATACGGAAATTTATATATATACAATTTCGTATAAAAGTAGTAGGTTTAAACAGATCATATTTAGCAAATACGCAACCAAAAACCAAAAACGATTATATCCCACAGGAGCCTGAGAATTTTTAAATTTTTATTTTGCATTTTCAATAGATATGATTGAAAATATTATGTCATCTAGTCCGTATAGTCCGTATAACGTCACCACAACTTCAGCCAATGGCAGAGCAGCATACTGGTCACGTGATACCTTTATTTCTCTCATTAGATATTCTGCCTCTTCCCGACCTAAAAATTCCACAGCAATTATCAATTGTGCATTCTATGGATCAGAAATATTCTACTAACAACGATGATTTTTTTCCTACAGAATTCAGCCTTATCCGCTTAGAAATGCTAATTATTTTTTCTACCTTAAGGAGGGTCCGTAACTCGATTTCTTTATAAGTTTGTTTTTTCAGCTTTCCTTTGCTATGGGATGGTGTTGATCCTGATATTAAACAAATTGAGAGTAAGTTTGGGTTTAAACTTAGTGTTAAACAATTCTTGCTTGATAAATATTTGGACTTTAGATGAGAACTTTTTTGTTTCAGTTGCTCAAATACTTAATTAATTCTCAATTATAGCTTTGTTTCTCGCTTGACCAGCATGTGGATCTTTTAGGAATAATATCTTTAATTTTAAATGCTAATTTTTAGCCATCAGACTTCCTACAGGAACCCTACCCTCTCTATGCCAGGAACTCCAACCTTTCTAGATCTAATTTTTCTAAAACTTTTCAAGTTATATTTTTGATTAAAAGACTTATTGTACGGGAGACCGACTGAAAACAGTTTCGGCTAGTTCCCCCTGCTATAAACTGTAATCAACTGATGTAATTATAAATATCCATTTTTACATGTATAATTTATGGCTAAATATATAATTTGTTTTGATTTCATTGAAGTAGTGATGTGTTTATACAGGGTGTAAAAAAATAAGTGGCCTTTTATGACACAGATTGAAAATTAATAAGAAGAAGAACATGACACATATTTTTGTTTAAAATGTATATATATATATATTTTATAAACACATTCATTGTTTTAGAATTTGTTAGTTAATAATGAGGGTGTGGTAGGTAAATATACAAAATATAAAGACGAACTGAATATTTTAACAGAAATGTCTAGTCCCTAATTTGAAAATATACTAGTTTTGTTCAGTGTAGACAGTCATTAAAATCCAACATAGATTTTAGGACAAAGTACAATCTTTTCAGTTAAACCTATTTTAGCATTTGTTTTACCTTCCAGAATATTACTATTGGAGAATTCTGAATTCATTTCAAATTGTTTTAGATTTCTAAAAATTGGGATATGTGGATAAATTTTATTAGTGATAATATATGGTATGATCAATCATTTTTACAAGAGCAAATTTTTTCTAAATATGACCTTCCCTAGGATCATGTAAGGTATAAGTTATCAACAAATTATTTGGCCCAACCGATTCAACCGTTCTGACGTTTGTTTGTTTGTCCGATCATAACTCAGGAACCCATGGACTGATTTACCTCAAATTTGAGTGTGGAACTCCAACGACCCACGAGAATGTTGTTAGCTTGGTTTTGAGAGTTCAAGTTGAGTAAGTCGACTTTAGTAGCGAAAATTTATTTTCCAGGTAAAATCGTTCAAGTGCGGGTAAACGGCGGGAGTAACATTTAGCAACCTTTGCAGCGCTGGGTTCCCAAGCTAGTATAGATTTATAGATGTATGTGGATCAGTGTTGAAAGGTGAGGGTTTAGAATGTGCGTATTGCGTATACAGAAATCTAATATCAAAGAACTTGAACACTTTAATCTTTTGGCTTCATGCATCCAAGACAAACGAGCATCGAAAATTTTACACCCCTCCCCCCCCCCCTTGACAATTTTTACCCTGGCCCGAATATTTGTCGGACGTGATATATATTTCTATATATATGTAGACCACAAAACACTGTAGGACGTAGGTCGTAGGTTGAAATATATAGGATATTCTTAGATTTGACATTTAGGCCTTGCATTATACAGAGAGGAAACAATAATATAATGATTCAAACCCCCCCCCCCCCCCCCTAATTCTCACACAGATTTTAGGGGAGGGGGGTTTAAGGCCTTCCCAATTTAATTTTTAACAATCATTTCAAAATTATTCAGAAAATGTTTTTTTTATATTAATCTTGAAAATTTGAAAAATAATATTTAATAAAAAAAAATATTGCTACTTCCCTTTTCTGCTAAAAAAAGTCCAAATATGAAAATTAAAGCATTGGAATTTTATGCCACTCAGATCTAATCCATGTGAGCATAAAATAATCTAGTAATCGGTTAAACGCCCCTCTATAATTGATGTTGTCTCTATTTTGGTTCCTTTTTCTGATATTTGTGTTATACCTAATTGAAATTTTCCTAAATACTAAATATGTACAAGATAAATTTTAAACAAAAGATTTAAAGTATTTAATGTAATTGCAGATCCATGCTAGTCCAAAATTATATTTGAATGTATGTAATGCATTTGTATCTCATATCTTATGATATTTAGTTCCCTATACTGTAAAATAAATCGCCTAAAGGTCCTCCTATATGTCTTACATACCAGCCTACGCTACTCAATTAAAATTTATTCTGGTGAAACGCCCTTATAACCTTTCCTGTTTTTGATTGCTTTTTGTATTCACTTATAAAGTCTTATTTAAATGTACGAATATATATGCATTTTTCACATTTATCTATAGATCTCCTTTTCTGTTTTTTGCTTTTTACCAAATTTAACAAGTTAAAAAATTTAAAATGCGTCTTTTTATCATGAACCACATGTACGCTTTCTGATATTCAATAATCTAATATATGCGAGGCCCTATGATTTTGTTTACTGTTAATTTTTCGTTGTATAGCGTAGAACCATTAAAGATTTATATAATAATATTAATAACCCTCCTTTTTCTTCCACGTACAAATCTGAATTCGAATAAAATCTAATAATCCGTATTCTGCGGATTTGTAAAATATCTCAGGCAAACTGAAGGAATGGAGAACATGATTTATAATAAGTAATTATAATAGATCTGAAGGAAATCTGTCATGAAACCCCAGAACGCATTCAGGGCGCCAAGCATCACCAATTACCATGCAGCATACGGCCTGGAATTGGAAGAACTAAATGCCTAGTTAAAATAAGGGTCTTTGTACATCAACTCCATTTAAGGCTCTCCGGGATGCATGACTACATCCAATTACTGTGGGTCAAGGCAGATATAAAAGGGGCGTTGAAGAATGTGAGGTGTGGGGTGGTGAAAATGAAAATTCTATTTTAAAAAACTTTTAAAATTTGTCTTTCTATTTTTTTATTTGAAGTTTTACAAGCTTGGATAATCCACTAAAATTTTAAAAGTGAAATAAACATTTTATTTTCTCCATTGTTCCAAAACCAATATGCTACAAGATTTTTAAACTATATAAAATGTAGGATCCCCCCCAGCCCCCCTCCCCGTCCTATCAATTTTGTACATGACCATTAATTTTAAGTTATTATGTATAATGTATTATTTGGGGTTATAGCTTAGGCTAAGACAATTTCTGGGCCGAGCGCTGCGGCTAGGACAGGCTAGGGGTGCGCCGAGTGCCGCGTCTAGGACAGGCTATGGGGGTATACGTGCGTATAAGATTCATGTAAAAATTGATCGTTCATTGGAAAATTACCTAATGTGTAATTGAAAATCAGGGTATGTCCTAGTGAACGATTTTTGGACACCCCCCCCTCCTATCAATTTTGTACATGAATTTAATATTAACGTCCTACGGTTTTCACGAACTAACAGTAAATACTTTTTTTTAAGTAATTAAACAAGCAAAACACTTCCACAAGAGAGCGAGACAATGAAAATTAGATTCAGAGAATATACTGAAAACCATGGGTACTGGAATAGGGTATCCCAACGAGGCTCGCGCACGAATGAAATTGAAAGGTCGAACTCGATACTGTACGGGGGGAAGATCCGTATCCTCTGACGTCACTGATTAAAACTATTAGTGGAGAATTCTCAGACCGACAAAGAAATGCCAATCACAATTATGCGTATACTCGCCAGTGTCCACTTTGTGCCCTGTACCGGGTTATGACGTGGGTCAGATACAGAAGCTACTGCTAGAATTGTATGACTACCTTACCCTATTCCAGTACCCATGCTGAAAAGTGAAAACTAAAAGTCCAAAAAAGGTAGTTTTTTGTAAACCGTTTACTGTACACATGTACTGAGTCTGAAAGAGTGCGCAAGCAAGTTCATTGAGAACAGCGAAATTTATTTAACTTAAAAGTTCATAGCGAATGTACGCAAATATATAAAGGGTCACAGTGTACACCCTTATTTGCTTATTACTCAACAAACATTTAACAGGATTAGATTTTGTTCATATATCTCATTTAACTTGGCATTTTATCTATATAATAAACGCTGTGAAGCGAAAATATTAATTTGTATTCATGAAGCTAAACTTCTTATTTTTAATTGGAATTGGAAACTTAAATCAAAACTGCAAACTTTAATCAAATCAAATAATTAAAATTCCGTGCATAAATTAAAGCATTTTATGTGTAAATTACAGAATATTCGTATTTTTTGGAGACATATATGAAAATTAAAGTCTATTTTGGAATTTTAAAAAAAATATTCATTTTGAGAGGAAAAATGTTGCCAGTGCCAGAGGGAAATTTTTCGAAAATATATTCTTAAAAATCTAAATTTTAAGGGCTAGAAGGTGCCTGCTATCTTCTCTTGAGCTCTTTATATTTCCAGGAGGGGAGGGGGGAGACCCCCCCATAAGCCGCCTCTATGCATATTGTTAAATTTAAGAAATTTGAGCTACTCCAACACGGTCTTTATCTCAGATTTGATGCTTTTTGAATACCTATTTAAATGGGAGTGACCGTGCAATTTATAGCAGTTGAACTGAGAATGCAGTATTGTGCAGACATTCTTAAAGACTCATTTGAGACATATAAAACGATTTAATGATGTAAAATTACTGAGTTTGAGCGCAAAGCCGATGTTCCCATTTGGGAGGTTACAGTTTGAGAATTGATTTTTTAAAATTAATAGATAACGACGACGATGATTTTAAAAGTCGACTTTGCGCTCAAACTCAGTAACTATAATAGATCATTTAAACGTTTTATATGTTTCAAATGACTCCTAAAAAAATTCTCCACAATACTACATTCTCGGTTCAACTGCCATATGCATTATCAGTCACTCCCTTCAAATGAAAATGGTTTACTGTATTAAGTAAAACGTCAAACGCTTAAGTTTTGTAAGTGAATGTACTATGGCATAACAAGTGTCATGACGTTCAAGGTTCAGTTTTAAACTGACTGCACCCACCTACTGCTTCACCTAACTAAAGAGTCTACACTACACTGAACTCAGAGTCAGAACTAAGGCGAGTGCAGGGTATGTTTGAAGAATTAAGAAAAGGGAAGAGTACGCCAAGGAAGGGGGGGGGGGCGCAGGAGGGTGGACCTACTCATATCATATATATTGTATGAAAATGCATTTAATTTTAAAATAATATATTTGGTTAAATATCAAATCATCAAATGTAATTGTCACATATGGCTATTTTGACTTTTTTATTGTGAATATTATTTGTGCTTCAACGGGGGGGGGGGGGTCATTGCTGTGCCCCCACCCGGCCACGGTGATATCAAGTATAAGATGAAAAAAGGGCTTTTATACTGTCTAAAAGGGGTAACCCCCCATGTTTGCCCCCACTCCCCCCACAGGTCAGTCACGGTATCTTAAAATGAAAAATTTTCATTGCAAAAAATATTAAGTTCATTGCAAAAAATATTAAGTTTCTTATTATTTTCAGCCTTCTTAATAGTAAAATCTGTTGAAATCTGCTGAAATCTGTTCAAATCAGCTAAAATCTGTTGAAATCTGTTGGAATCTATTGAAATCTGTGGAAATCTGTGGAAATCTGTGGAAATTGTGAAAATCTTTGGAAATCTGTGGAGATCCGTAAAAAATCTGTTTAAATCTGTAATCTGTATACCCTGCTGCACTGAAAGTTCTAGCTCTACAGACCAAGAGAAGAAACGAGGGTGTGGTTTTTTGACCTTCCATCAAGTTCATTCCAAATTTATGTCTTTTAGAGCATAAATAAGTCCCATAACTAATACAAAAGTATATTATGTAAGTTTTAAGTTGCCCCCCCCCCCACAATATTTAAAAATGAACTTTTATGTAAATATTCTGCATTTTTGTGCAAGTTCCAAAAAAATGTTCTGGTTTTACATAGTTTCTTTGAAATAAAAAT